ACGCATGCATGCGCCAGAGACATTCGCGTCTACATGCACCGGAGCTGTGAATCCCACCACTGGGTAAATTTGTAGGCTGTCTTGAGTCCCAGGCTTTGTTGAACCTTGCTGGGTGATGCAATCTCCCCAGGTGCCATGTGGTGAGTTTTGTTGCTAGATGGGTAGACGGCTAATCCTATTATGTCCTGAAGGTTTATTGTTTTGTAGATAAGCTGGCCCAGTCTTTTGTCTTGTAGCTAACCAAAATATCTGCTGGGTGCAGGGAGCTGGGGTTGAGTTTCTGTCTTAAGATTTCTATTTCTTTTAGGGGAAATATTCTGCCTTTTTAATATTTCCTAAAATATTTCATTCTTCTAAGAGAGAGGGGTGGGTGCTAACCAGAGGTGGGTTCCTACTGGTTCGTACTGGTTCAGCCGAGTAGGAAGTAACTCGGCCTGCCACACCCCCAAACTGGTTCTATTGGCGGCGCCATAGATGCCGCCATCTTGTTTTTTGCTTCTGCGCATGCACACCTTTTTTTTACTACTATGCATGTGTGCATAGTGGACATCAAGCGCGTGTGCAAAGCCCGTGTGCAAAGCGTGTCCCTGAGCAAACCAGCAGTAGCAGAAGCCGGAACCCACCCCGGTGCTAACTTTCTACAAATGTATACAGAGACCTTACATCAATGTTTCTCAACCATGGAGACTTGAAGATGTGTGGACTTCAATTCCCAAAATTCTGGGAATTGAAGTCCACACATATTCAAGTGGCCAAGGCAAAGAAGCAGAGCTTTAGATAACTTATTATATACACACATTAACCATTTGAAAGGAAGACCAGCTTGTGTGGAGAACCCTGGAGCAAATTCTTCCATGGATTTTGACCAGATTTTCAGATTGGTAAAGAGGGACACCATTGACCGGGTGGGGTGGTGGGGAAAGCTAGGCCGCGCCGGTTACTGCCAGCCCGCGGCCTCGCTAGGGACATCTGGTCACCTTAATTATACATATCCTCTCTCTCTCTATCCATCCATCCGTCTATCTGTCTGCCTATCTAGTTATGGTATCTCTCTCTCTCTCTCTCTCTCCCTCTGCCTGCCTACCTGCCTGCCTATCTGTCTATCTAGTTATGGTATCTCTCTCTCTCTCTCTCTCTCCCTCTGCCTACCTGCCTGCCTATCTGTCTATCTAGTTATGGTATCTCTCTCTCTCTCTCTCTCTCCCTCTGCCTACCTGCCTGCCTATCTGTCTATCTAGTTATGGTATCTCTCTCTCTCTCTCTCTCTCCCTCTGCCTACCTGCCTGCCTATCTGTCTATCTAGTTATGGTATCTCTCTCTCCCTCC